ATTATATTTATTTAAATTATTATTTTCATTTATTAATACAAACTTATTATTGCTTCTTTAACTATAACTTGTATCATTAAAATACATTAATTTTTTTATTTATTTATATTTCATATTTAACCAATAGATTTTCATCTTCTTTTGCTCTAAACTTTTAACCATATCGTACCGCTCTTTTGAAATCTTCTTAACTTCTTAAATGCTACTGCTAATTAGGATAAATCAGTCAAGTTATGAAATTTCTATGAAAAATTGGTTTAAATCAGTTTTTTTCCTCTTATTTTACTTCCAGTTCTTTTTGTTATTCTTTTCTACATTTTTCCGTTTTTCCTCTGCAGCTCTCGCTTCTACTCCTGTTACTAAAGCTATAATAGAAAAAATTATAATTTATCTTTAATTTATAAAGACAAATCAGCTCAGTCTAAGTGAATTGTAAAAAATAATATGATAACCATATAATATCGCTTTTACATAAAACATGCTTACTAGGCACTACGTATGTATATACCACAGTGTCGCAGTTAGGAAATATTTCTACTACTTTATAAAATGTTCAAAAGTTCAATGAAAAGAAAACAAATAAGTTTTAAACGGACAGAGCTGCCTATACTCAATTTCTTTATTACATGAAGCAGAGCATAAATCACTTAAGGATTACTTAAGACCTATGAAGCATACACATACACACACACACACTCAGAAATCAAAGTGGGTATAGTCTAAGAAATTACCACGCTAACAGCTAGAGCTACGTACAAGAAGTTTTCCACTCAGTGAGCTTTAACTTTGGATGACTCTCTACTCGAATGGAGACTCAAGAAGTGGGTATGGATGGGGCGGGAGAGTCCAGTGCACTGCAAGCTCAGCTAGGGCTGCCCACTAATGATGGGGCCAGGAGGGTAAAAACAAGGGGAGAATAGGGAGAAAGGCGAGTATGGCTGCTTACCACTCATGTCCCCCGACATGGTCCTGGGCTGGGTTAAACCTGTTAACGTTAAGTTTTCAACCATTGTGAAGCTTGTTGGTCTATAAATTGACTGGTCGTAGCTCAGCTCAGCTCAGCCGTGCGCACTACTTGACCACACATTGGCGCATTGTCACGCGCGCTTTCCCAACCTGCCACACAGCCACACAGAGAGACAGAGTGAGTGGGAGAGTCGGGGAGCATGGAAGAGGCAGCTACCAGCATATTCATCAATAGAGCAAATGCCACAGTGTTCATCCAATTTCAGCTGAAACTCGACTTGTCGCTGGGTTAACAAAAAAAATCTGTTAAAATAAATCACAACAATTTGTACATTTTCGCCTCGTTGGCCAGAAACGAAGACGCTACATATATATATATATATGGTGACGATGATGACGTTGGCGACACACACACACACACACACACACATACATACTTACACACATGACTAAAAACCAGCAGCTGCTTTTTGGGCCCGACTGAAAAGGACAATGTCTGCTTGGCTTGATTTTTTGGGCTATTAAGTTGTCATTTGGCTGCGGGTATACTTATCTTTGCATCTGTATGTGTGTGCCTGTGCGTGAGTGTGTGGGTGTCTATTTGAGCACGTGACCACAGCTATCAGTCGGCTGCTTCCTCAGCTCAACTTATGACAACTTTGATTGCAGTCAATTTATTAACAGCTTTGTGAATGTTGCCAAAGCCAGCATTTGACCAGGTAACGGAGCGGCATATATGACATATGCCATGTGACGAGCGGCATACGGCATGCGGCATACGGCATGCGGCATGCGTTGTGTGGCAGGTGGCAGCTGTTGGGTGTCGGGATTGAGCATTACAAATGCCTGACATAATTGTTTAACGCCATGTTTTTAATTAGCCGCCACACACGGACGTCAAATACAAAGCTAAATACAAAAAGCATGTCAGCCAAACAAAGGGACATGATAAACGTTTGTGTAGGAAAAAAAAAAAAAAAAAAAAAAAAAAAAAAAAAAGAAGCAAATGAAAAAAAAACAAAGGCTGCGAATGTTTGCCAGGATGTATGTATTTGTGTATATATGCTTAAAACCCTATTACCATGGTAATCCTTTTGACAAATGAATTTTAACATGCCCTCGCACACACACACACACACACACCTTTGCATGGACAACTCAATGTCAGTTAGCCCTGTGCTAGACGCACCGCGAAAAAGTATGCTATGAAATGTGAACGGCATATGCGTCTGGCTGTTTATGTGTGTGTGCGCGAGTATGTGAGTGAGTGAGTGAGGGAAAGTGTGCGCTCATGCGCATATGTCTAGCTGACATGCATGTAAATATGCCTACGCACATAACACAGCATGTGAATGTGCATAACTAACGACATTCAACTGCGATGCGATTTGCCATAAACTTGAAAAATATCATATTAACTAAGTTAGAACAATTCAATAAAGAGGTCCAGGGCACTAAATTTTAAAAGTCCTTCTATCGAATTAAGGTTTAGCGTAGGATTTATCACATACATATGTAGACATAAAACTACGTATCATTATTCTTTATGCCAAAGTGAAACCAAATTGCTTGCTTGTGATGAAACTTGCATCTCTCCGCCTATACGGACCGAGGCTGGCCTGTCTTTCTTTCTCTATCTATCCCTCTTCCTATTTTCCTCATTATTTTTCCTTCTCTTTATTATTCTATTATTCCATATTCCCCTCTCGCTGTCGTTATCGTTTTTGCTCTCTCCTTCTCTCTCTTTTTCTCTGTCTTTCTTTCTTGATCCCAATCTTTTATTTCTAATTTTATTTTTGTCTTCACTTTTTCTCCCTCTGCCTAGCTTATCTCTCTCTCCCCCTCACTCCTTATTCGTATAAAAAGCTAAAAACAATTTATCAGCTTTTCATTTTTTCGTCTCTTAAGGAGTACCCTATATGAGCAATAAATCAACTGCTATATAAATGCAGTATAATAATCATAATTATTATAAAAAAAAAAAATAAATAAAATAAAATAAACAGAATTAATGGCATTACCATATTTAGGCTTCTCACATTCACTGGAGCATCAGCAGTGAATTATTAACCAAATATTGAATCAGCAAATGGAGTTACGTTTGTGATCGGTTGGCAGGCGGCACATAGCAGCTGGAGAGCATTCGGAGTAGGTCCTTTGATAACAAACACACACATAATATAGCACACGCGACCCCGCTATAAAAATTCAATAGTCCATGCGAGACTTGAAACGGGAAGCTCTTTGAAATCATCTACATCATCAATTTTTGCTTAGTTTTTGCTCGAAATGGGGAGCGAAGCTTGGGCACGCACTTGGGTGCTCCCACAGCGGCCATAGAATCAACCAGTGCACACAGTGGGAAGCCAATTTCGGTAGCTTTCTGCTTCTGCTTCTGCTTTTGCCCTGCCAACAGACTCGCAAATCGCATGCTTCGCTGCCAGATGCCTGGCAATAAAATATTCATTTACTTGACATTTGTTGTTGTTGTTGCTGTTGTTGTTGTTGCTTCACAGGATGCATCATTCAAGTCAAGTCCGTGGCACGCCCACCACAGCATCGGTTCAGCATTTGACACGCTTTTGGGACTCGCGCACACACCGTCAACTTTTTGCACCCTTCATAAAAAATGTAATTTTCAAAAACATTTGGAAATTTGAAATTGAATTTGCCGCACGCTTGAAGTTCGCTGCTTTGGATCCTCCCAGCCCGTTTCTTCCAATCTCCTCCATAACAACTGTATGCAAAGCATCTTCAAGATTCCATGGACGCCCAGCCAAGCCAGCTCCGATACATAAAAGACGAGCCGCACTTTTAGGCTGGGGCTTTTGGGGGCTTAGTAGCAGGTGGCAGCTTAGCTGGCCCCTTCCGACCACCCCCAACCCCTGCCTCGACACTTTCCTTCATTTTTTTCTTTCCTGCAGATATGTGGAAAAGTGTAAGTGACATGAAAGGCGCACAAAGCGCAAAAACCTTTAATAACTTTACGCTCTTTGTTTTCAAGCACACTTTGACAAGTAAGTGACTTTCATCCCCCCCCCCATCACACATCGCCCAACTCCCTCCCTTACCCCACACTCACGACTCTCAAAGGCTGCACAGCTTCCGCTTTGAAGTTTGTGCTCTATGCGTTTCCTTTGACGCTCCGTTTCAGCCCGAAAGCTAAAACTACATCCTTCCGAAAAGTAAACAAACCGGGTAACGCCTTTAAAACAAACGCATCCACCCCACCGCCTGCTTGCCCCATTCCAATGTATAATTTATGACCTATTTATTGTCAATAAATACAGCCTCATAGCGACCATTTCGTGCGCTGCGACTAAATAAAGACAAATGAACCTTCAGTTTAGTGGGTGGATCGAGACATACTTTGAAATATATAGCATATATATACGTTGTATACGCATAAAAAACAATGGCAACTGAGGTACTCATCACAGAGGCCAAATGGGCAGTTTTTATACCTATTGAAATTGGGAAATCCGGGTATAAAAGTTTTCTTAAAACATATGTTACAGTCAGAAAGAGGGATGACAAGTATGTGTATATTCTTTATAGCGATATATATTAAGGACCTGAACAGATGAAGCTTGTTTTAACTAACCAATTACTATTGATTATAAACGTTTTCAAAACGCTATTATTATGGTAAATCTCGCACATTTCTTGAGCTAGACTCTCCAAACTTTGCATTTAGAGTCATATAAATTGTTATTTTATAATTTGAAATCCGTTCATTCAGTGAACTTATTTTATTTCAAAAACTTTTTAATTTTTCAAAATTTCGGTTTTATAGCCATAAAGCAAATATTATGGCTGCGTTAGCCATTTTAATAAAGCTTATCAGCCTCATATGCCTATTTGTATTGAGTAATGGAGGTAAGCTAATACCACTTATATAAATGTGTCGGAATCGCCCGACTAGGAAGGAATCATCCATAGTATACTCTATAAATTGTATCTATGCGTATCAACATCAAGCAAATCGATTATTTATTAATCTTAACTTCGCTTATTTTCAAAACCGAAGCATCTCGAATAAAAAAACTCTCCATTGAGCACACTCCATATCTGGGCACATTACGCAATGCACTTAGAGAGTCCATTAGAGCCAGCAGTGGATTTTTGTGCGCGGCAACTATTATTCATAATCGTGTGCTTATCACACCAGCTGTATGTATATATGGGTGGGTATAACTGACTGAATCTGTTAGCTGTTATTATGAGACTATTTTCCACAGACAAAGACGACAAGATCTGGTGGTTGTAGTGGGGAATACGTTCATTAGAGGTGTAAGTCCAACAATGAAAGTGTTGGCTATCGAAACTTGGAGATGGCATGCACGGTATAGATTTGGGGAAATGGCATACAATATTGCATTGGTCTTCACTGTTCGTGATATAACGCCCAAACATGGGGCTATTGCATATGCTGTCATTAACAGGAGCAAATTAAGACCGCATACCGAATGTTTATTCTGTGGATGGAGTAGAACTTCTGTTGTAAGCGCATTAATAACTGTGTCCACTAAATTGGAACATGTTTACCGATAACCAATTGTTTTTTTTTTTTTTGTTTTTTTTTTTATTTAGAAATCGAAACAAAAGGTGAACCCTCCGATTGCATTTTTTGTATGGAATACCTACAATGTAGATTGCTATAAGATCACTTCTACTGCTGGTGTGATGTGCTCCTACGTACCACATATGGCCGAATTTAAAAATAAAACTGAAGATCTAGGTAACCCGATAATATGCAACCATAAACTTGCTGGTGTATTCCTCGAAAGGCATGGGGAGATCTCAACGTATATAGATATATATTCATTTAGAAAATGGATAAACGGAGCCATTTACATCCATTTCCATACAGCCACATCGCCTCCTCGATCAATTTGCTGTCGGTGGCTTCTTGTGTTGGCCATTAGTATTTTTTTTATCTTCAGCTAAAAACGTGAATGTGTATGATTCCCTCATATGACTTTAATTTTATTTTACATAAATAGTTTTGTACTGTATCCTGAACAAAGTCTTTGCACCTGGAATGATTGGGGGGTAAGCAGATCTGACCAAGCTCCAGCAGAGTATCAGCAAGTCTATCACTTCCAACTGGATCAGTGTTACTTGTTCTCTTAATTTTGTATTGAATATTATTATATATTATATTTAATAATATTGTGAGTGAATACACTTGTATAGGGCTTAAAGGACCGTAAGAAATATACCTGCGGTGTTATTGCGGGACCCTCCAAAATTAATATATAATTGGAATGTCGGAGCACTTACGTGTTATAAGACCACCGCTAATATTGGGTTGATATGCACCTAGATATAAGAGGTCTAGTTCGGACCATCTGATGCTGGTACCCCGCTAATATGCAACAATAAACTAGGGGTTCCAATAGGTTTCAAATATTTACAGATATTTATAGTTTTAGAAAATGGATAAACGGAGCTATTTACCTTCACTTCAAAAGTGATACGCCATTGATGATCGAAACTTCATCGGTCGAAGGATCGATTTGCTCCCCTTGGCTAGTTGTCTTGGTCGTTAGCATTTGTCACCTAGTAGTCTTTTATAATAGTTACCTGACCCTAAAAACGCAAATCGTGATTCCTATGAATAATTTTAATTTTAGTTTTACATAAAACATGTTTTTTTTTTGCTGTATCCTAAACAAGTCGTTTAAGTTTTACAACTTAATGCGTGAGGAGTAAAGTAGCCCTGCCCGAGAACTTTTGTTATTATAATTAATTCACTCACCCACCTTTATAAAATGTTTGGCAAGACTTAACCACAATATGTAGCATTCTTACAGACGTTGAGCGTAGGAAACGTAAAACAGGAAAATAGAAGCCACCCACTGCGGCTTACAAAAAAGTTAAAATATCCCTTTAAACGATCCGTCGTTCAATGCATAAGTGTGTCTGTATGCGTGTGTGTATCTAGGTAAAATGGCATCAAATATAATAACGACCACAACAATGCGTGACATGCATGCAAAAATTGTTGGCCTTAAAGTGTGCATTAGCTGAAAGAAGGTATGGGTGTGCGTGTGTGTGTGTGTAATCTTTTTCAAACACATACACCAAATCACTTTCTAAATGCAATGCCAATAAAAAACCAGAGCAAAGTGTTGAAAAAAATAAATAAAT